TTATTAACATTATTGAATAAAACACAGCAGTTTATTGTTAGTTCATGTCAGCCCTGTCCCATTAAATAGGAATATTAACAGATAGCCTACTTTTTTTTAATTTAATGCTGTATTATTAAATGTTGAAATTGATATTAACTAAGATTACTAGTTGCTTTAAAAGTGTTGTTCGTTGTTAGGTAATATTTTAACCAATCTAGTTAAGGAATGTTAACTAATGGAACCTTTTTTGTAAAGTGTCGCCTATATATAATGCTATTATATCAATCAATCACGATAAATCAATATATATATATATATATATATATATTGACTTATCGTGATTTGACTATATATATATATATATATTCATATACAGACAGGCACACACACAAATTATATTAAACAAACTTTTATGTTAGATGTGATTAATCGTGAATTACATGTTGGCGCGAGTCATCGATTAATCATGATGATTAATCGATTAATCACACTTAATCAATTATTTATGTTTGGTGTTTATTTGTATTTCTGATATATATTAATTAGTGCTGTCAAATCCGTTGATCGCATCTAAATGTTTATATTTAATAGTTTATATAGGCTATATATATATATATGTGTGTGTGTGTGTGTGTGTGTGTTTCTGTACAGGCTATGTAAATAAGGCCTATAGTACATATATCAGAAATATAAATAAACAAGCAACAAAAATAAATGATATTTAAAACAACTCATACCAGACACGAGCATCTTCCGTGCGTCGGAGAGGCATCCCAGCGTCCTGTCGCGTAACCGACTGTGTGTTTTCCGCAGGTGTGGTTTAAGAACCGGCGCGCCAAGTGCCGTCAGCAGCAGCAGCAGCAGACCAGCGGCCAGACCAAACCCCGACCCCCGAAGAAGAAGTCCTCGCCCGCCCGCGAGCCCAGCGTCAGCGAGGCCAACGCCGGCACCACCTACAGCCCTCCTCCGCCCCCGCCTCCGCCCGGGACCTCCATCACCCCGAGCTCCACCAGCGCCACCGTGTCCATCTGGAGCCCGGCGTCCATCTCCCCGCTGCCGGACCCGCTGTCGGTGTCCGGGACGTGCCTTCAGCGCTCCGGCGGGTACCCCATGACCTACACACAGGCCCCGGCGTACGGGCAAGGCTACGCCACCTCCTCGTCCTACTTCACCGGGCTTGACTGCAGCTCGTACCTGTCTCCCATGCACCCGCAGCTGTCGGCCACCGGGGGCGCGCTCAGCCCCATCACCGGCTCCATGAGCGGCGCTCTCAGCCAGTCGCCCGCCTCGCTCTCGTCCCAGGGCTACAGCGCCGCGTCCCTGGGCTTCGGCGCCGTCGACTGCCTAGACTACAAAGACCAAACGGCGTCCTGGAAACTGAACTTCAGCGCCGCGGACTGTCTGGACTACAAGGACCAAAACTCCTGGAAGTTCCAGGTCCTGTAGGGCGTTCAGAAGGGAAAGTCCGTGCACTCTTCAAACGCAACGCAACGCCGCGTAGACGAGCCCTTCTTATTGTGCATTTCGCGCAGTGGAAATGTTAAAGGGTTCGTTTATTTTGGTAAGAATCAGGGTGATCACGTCCAACCCATATTCTGAAGCGTTCGTGCACAAATGAGGCATTTTGAGTTCTGGAGATGTTTCTAAAGACGATGACCAACTCTCGAGTGTTTGAATGAAGTCTAGTGTAGGTGATAGTAGACCATCAACTGCGAAGATCAAGTGTTTAGCGCGTTGATCACCTCGATCTGACAATCTTCATCTTCATCATCTGTACTGCAAAGGCTCCGTCTTGATGTTTTAGGAGGTGTCTCATTATCATTAGACTATATCATCCTTCAGGATCTCCAGAAACATATTGTCATTTATGTTTATGAAAAAGCTGCTTTTGATACTGAAGAGCGGAGATGAAAGTGCTTTTGTGTGTCAGATAGACGACAGAGCCCAAGATGATGCATTTGTGTTTTATAGCTGTTTCTTTAATTGATATTATAATTTAGGTTGTTTGAGACGCCACACACTCTTTCTTTTTTCAATGTCAAACTTTACTTGAATGAAATCATGTGTTGAGTTGCATGGAATTAAACTCTCTGACTCTTAACGTTTAGATTCTGCCAACAATCAGTGTTTGTTTTATTCGTCAATCTCAGGGGTTTTCAGCTTTTATAGGCTCCGACGCTCTTAATGTCTGTTTGTACAAAATCATCATTTTTCAAAAATCAACTTTTTTTTTCTCTGTTTTTGTTTGTAATGTCCTGCTTTTTCATTGTGTTTGCTTCTAGAGTCTTGTAGACTTTCAATGAGTTATAAATAAACTTTTCTTTCCATAAATACAGGACTAGTCGATTAATTTTAAATTAAGTGTTTTTTTTTTTTTGCAAAAAAAAATGGTAGATATCTAAAGAAAAAATACATTAGTAAACGAATGAATGAATACATAACTGATTGAACAAATAAACTAAAAAACATGCATACACAAAAAATAACCAGCAAATACATACTTGCGTTAAAAAACAAACAAATTAATCAATACATAGAGAAAAAAAATGCACATGCATACACACAACAACAAGTAAATCCTCGCATGCATGCATAAGTGTTTTATTTATGAAATACATTTATAAATTATCAATAATAATAAAAAAACACAAACTATTTAAATGGCTAAATATTTCAATCCTAATAGAAGCTCTATTTTCTTTATGCATTTCTTTATTCTTTATGCATATTTTTTTAATTTATGATTAAATATGAGCTGGATATTTTTTTTTTATTAGTTTCGGTCAACGCACGCACGCAAGCACGCGCACAGTCAGACACACACACACACACACACACACACACACACACACACACACACACATATTAAACCATCATGTGTTTGTCCATCATGTTTTATGAGAAAGAGAGATGCAGAAATAAACATGTTAAGATGGAAAGAAGAGTCACAGAAGTGTGTGTGTGTGTGAGTGTTTTTATGTGTGTGAGAGAGATAGAGAGAGAATGTGTGTACACGTGTGTGTGTGTGTGTGTGTGTGTGTGTGTATAATCTGCATGGATGCAGCATATGGCATGTTCAGTGCAGACGGGTTCAGGGACTCTCAGGACTTAAAATATGATTCATTTCTTTCCCTCTAATCCACAGACACACCAGAGCCGGAGTTCCTTCAATTTGCCTTTAATCGATTCCTAATCCCCAGCACCACACACACACACACACACACACACACACACACACACACACACACACACACACACACACACAAGTGTAGCAGAATGACTGAAAATTAAAAACAGATATGGACATTTTTTAAATTAGGGTTCCAAATGTTTGTGTGTTTCTTAGTGTGTGTGTGTGTGTGTGTTTTATTGGGTGAGAAGAATTTAATACCTGCAGCCTAATTTGAAGAAATGATCCTGAAACGTCACCTTCATCTTCATCATCCTCATCAGCCGCGTCTCACCTGTGAAACACAAGCTAATTGAAGTCATGATAGAGACTCACGGCGTCAGGCTTCAACACTTCAAATCCCACGACATGATCCTCGAATATCTCCATCAGTCTAATAATAATAATTTCACATTTGGCTTTCATCTATGAACTGAATTGAAAGGTAATGTTTAGTTCTCATTGGTTAACATTAACATAAACTACGATACACTAAACTGCAATACATTTCTTACGACATTTATCATGTTAGTAAAAATGCAAATGTTAATTGTTTATTAATGTTAGTTCAAAGTATTTAAATGTGTTAGTAAATGTTGAAATGTACTTGAACTAACAATGAACATTAATGCAGTATTATCTGTTAACTAATGTTAATGTAACCCAACCTGCTGAATGTTCACTGTGGGATGATTATCATTTCATACATCAGTGAAATCTCAGACTACAGCAGGGGTCTTAAACTCAAATTAACTGGGGGCCGCTGGAGACAGAGTCTGGGTCAGGCCGGGCCGCATCAAGTATTCAAAAAAAAAAAAAAATTGTATTTAAGTATTCCAAAAATGGAGCACAACTGATCCAATCTTCTCAATCTTTATTATTAACGTTTCTTATGAATTTGAGCATTCCTTTCTGTGCATGATTGGTTCTTCATGAATTCATGAAGTTCATTTTACAAACTTTCTCTGTCTTTTTCTTATACACAACATCTTTGTGATGATAGTCATATTTGTTTTTATACTATTATATTGATTTTTTTTTTTTTACGGAAGGCACATTTCCTTTTAGTATACTTAGAAAAACAATTATTGCTTTTGAAATACAAATAATTATTTCTACACATGTATAATGTCTCAGGCAAATTACTGATTGCACACATCAAAGCAAACCTTCTTATCAACCGGTTGGACTAAGTTCATTACATGAACTAGTTCAAAGTTCAGTTCACAAATTTTAAAATGAACTAGTTCAGTTCATATTTCATTCTTAGAAAAATGAACTAGTTCATTGTTCTTTTCCCCATATGTTGCTGCGAGCTTCTTTTTTATTATTAGGCTATTATTTGCCACAGCCCATATACAACCACAGATAACAATTATTTTATCGACGGGCAAAGTTTGCACAGACATGTAAGATTTTCCCATCCTCACCGACCTCATAAAAGCCTTTTAAATGATGAGTCACGACGCCTCCTCGCTCCTCGGTTCACAGACACTAGAATGAACGAGTTCACTGTAACGTTCATCAGGCAGTAATACTGTAGGCTACGTTCAGTTCACGTTCGCCCAAAATATGAAAAAGTTTATGAACTATCGTTCAGACACAACACATATTACGAGTGCCGAAGTGATGACGTCACTTTGTAGGACAACTCGAAGCTAGCGGCGCATGGGTTCCCTCCTCAGTCGAAAAGCAATGCATTTTCCCCATAGACTTTTGGAAAATCGCAAAAAATAAGATGTCTTTAACAAAGGGTTGTGACCCTTACACGTTTTGTCTTGCAAGATAATCTTTACAAGTTAATCCAAAATTTATACACTTTGAAGCCTATAAAGATTTTAAAAAACACAATCATAAAGTTTAAAAAACCACAAGCAGGTTATAACCGTGTGTTCTATTTCATAGATCAAAATGTGAAAATATCCAGAAGCTCTGTTCACCACAGACCTTATTTCAGGCGATTTAGCAAAAACCGTAATGCTACAATGCTAACTCACTTCCGCGTTTTGGCCTACAGAGTGACGTCGTAACTTCGGCACTCTCCCAAAATATGAACTAATTCATGAACTATCGTTCATTGAACGCGTTCAGACACAACACATATTACAAGCTCAAAATGATTATTCTCACATTGTTTTAGAGCAGGGGTATCCAACACGGCGCTCGCGAGCTAACAGTAGCTGTGGCCTGATTGGTGGTAGCTGGTAGCTCGCCTTGGGCCTGTTCACATATCATCGCGCTCACATATTTTGCGCGCTCAAGTTCGTGAGCTATGACAACTAATGACAACAAACCCACCGTATTGCTGTCACGATACTATCTATAGTAGCCCACAAGGGATAAAAAAAACAAACAAAACAAAAACAAAACGCGGCAAACGCAACGACGGGCCGCACTAACATTAAACTTAAATGTCAAGTGGGGTTTGAGACCTCTGGTCTACAGTATCTGTCTGTCTGTCTACAGAATCTGTCTGTCTGTCTATAGTATCTATATTTCTGTCTACATTAACTGTCTGTCTGTCTCTGTGTTGGTTTGCAGTTTGTTATTTTTACTGATCTAATTTAGAAAATGTTTCAATCCTCTTACAGTCCAGCGCTGTACAAAGTGAATTAGACTGGATTACTGTCTCTCACTTCAGTCTTTCTCAGTCTCTTTCACTCTCTTCGTGTCGGTCAGTGAGTTTCATGAGCGACTGACGCTGGACAGACGTTACCTGAACTCTATCTCCTGTAAAGACCTTCTGTGAGACGCTTCAGTGCAGATTAAACCGCTTCAGACATTCATCATTCCTGTGCTGTCAAATCGATATATATATATATATATATATATATATATATATATATATAGTGACTTAGCCTACATATAGTCTGAATTCTTTCTCTTCTCTCATTTTATGTCATCAAAAGTCTCTAAAAAAGCCAAACAAACATCTGTGGAGAAGCTCTCCTGCACTTCATGCACAATTACTGCATGTTTAATATTTTAATCAAACACGATTTTCCATATAATTCCACATATCAGGCTCGAATCATTAATGAAACACGTGAAGTATCAGCACTACATAATCAGTGTTTATGAAATCATGTCTGAACAAACTTCACATCTAAAACTACATTTTCTTTTCCAAACAGTGACAGATGCATTTTATCAGGCAAATATAAACCAATGAATTTTATACAATAATAATAATGTCAATATATAAAGGACCAGTATAATGATATCACAGCAACACTCAGCTGGAAAGCAGACAGAACAATTGAACTTTTTAGCCAATATTGCCTTGATTAATGAATTACATATTTTATTTTATTTTTCTAATGTGTTTATATCTATTTTTGGTGGCTGATTTTCACAATATAGAACATATGGTTATTATGTGTTTTGAATTGAACTGTATAACTATTTTGCAGAGAAATCTGTGTTTAATCCTTCAGTGAGGAAGAACATCATAAAACAATCCCTGAATATGAAAGTAATGTTAAATCACGGAAGCTGGAAAAACTCTTTCCAAACAAGCGGGCCATTAACACACAACAAAGCGCATGTGTACACAAACTAAATCACTAAATCTGTTTGAGTGAGTGCATATGTTCAATGCGTCTCACTCGTTCTCTTTTTCCTCTTTCCTTTCTCCTCCTGTTTTTGAGCACTAACAGCTCCTAATCTCTCCATTCTCTCTCGGTCTAATCCAGGCCTGACCTCAATCCAGTGATGTAATGCGTCATGTGACATGGACGGGTGACGGTTTCCACCAATCAGAGCGTTCAGAGCGAGACTACGTGAGGAGACACAACCTTCTTACGGGGACGCTGGACACTGAAAACATGATTCACAGAGAATGGAAAATAAGTTTTTACATGCGTGTGTTTATGATCGTTACAATCGACTTCATACAAAAACAACAGGAAGTAGTTCAACACGGGGTTGACCAATCAGAAAACAGCACTGGAGTATAAATAGACCTAGTGTTTACAGTTATATATAAATATATATGAAGAGTTCAGATGCAAAAGCCTCTAAATGCCATTTGAAATTTTCTTCTAGAATGATCATTTTTATCAAACTTGTATATTTAAGTTCAGTGATTTCACTTAAATGACAATTAATAGGTAATCCTCATTGCAAATTAAGTGAAATTACTTACAAGCTTGATAAATATGATCATTCTAGAAGAAAATTTCAAATGGCACTTAGAGGCTTTTGCATCTGAACTCTTCATATATATAAATATAAAAAAACGAATGAAAATGACTAAAGCTCTTACTAAAACAAACTCAAAAGACAATTAATATTTAGTACTGATTTGAGAGATTTATAACAGTATATAAATACTACTAAAATAACACTGGTACAGTACATAAGCCACTGTGTGTTTTATTTTCTTCAATGTCCAACACTGAAATGCAAACGACTGTTCGGCTGTTCTTATAAAAGTGTCTCACTCTACACTCCTCATCCATCTGTCTAGTGCAGCGTGACCTATGACACACATGGAGCTTACACACACACACACACACACACACACAAACAAATGTTCACTCACACTCACACACAAAGCATATATACATGAAAAATACATTTACAACATTAGTACTTATACAAAATTCAGGTCCATAATGTTTGTACGCGTTTGTCGTAGACACAAAATAGCATAACTAGTAGCCTAGTGGCTATAAAGCCAGCGCTGGCATTTGAAAAATATAAAACACAAGGCTACGTCTGGAATTATACATGCAAATACATTTAAAATGATGAAGTCTTCGTCTACTTACAGGTTGTGACTCAACAACTGCTGCCTCTGGTTTTAAAGTCGGATCTGCTTCATGTTTTAGTAACAGTTTCTTGTTGAATCCGGTGTTGAACTCGTGGAGATTCTGGAAAATGTCTTCCGTAAAATGCGCATGCCCTTTTCTGCATATTCAGAGGGAGGGTTGATGCAAATGTGTGGGTTAGTGACGTCTAAAACCCAGCTGTAGTCCCAATTGAGTAATTTTTGTAGGCAATATACTTCCTGATTTTTAAAAGACAATATCTCTGCAACTTTGCAGATACTGTTTATGCACCAACAGCAACATTACACACTATTTAAAATGAAAAAAGTGAAATCGCAGTCAACTCCCCCTTTAATCAAAACCATCAGAAGAGCCGTGTATGAACGACACGAGAGAAGGTTTTTATTCCAAACAAAAAAAAACAATGTTATTTACCGCCACCTACAGTACAAACGTGTACAAATACCAGAAAATAGAATCAAAGTGTGTGTAAAAAGTAATCCTGTAGAAACGTATGTTATGTACACGAGGCGACGCAAAAACCACTTATTGCACAAGAAAACAATAGCATCATATCTGTCATAATAAGATCAACTTAAAATACAATGGAGAAATAAGAAACTCTATAAGAAAACATTTAAATTATTTAAAGTTGACTGCCAGGCCAGCATGGTTTTATTTTAAACATGTGTGTGTTTTTTTCCTTTGAAATACAGCAGAAATCGTTAGAAAAATGAAACGTTCAAAAGCCAGAAATCCATAACGTTTCCTTCCATTGAACGTTCACCTGTAACTTTAATAGTGGACTGACGGTTTATCATAAATATCTCAGTTTTTCCTCTCAGACTAGTTTAATGTTGAAGCAGAAGGTGCGTGAAGGATCTCTGGCTCTCTGAAACAGTAGTTTTACTCTCGTGTTTCGGGTTAAAGAGAAATGCATTTCTCAAACGTCATTTTACAGTCAAACATCAGTACAATTTCCCCAGAACGGACATATTTCATCTAAAATCAATGACTTACATTTTTTGGGCCATTAACATTTTTGCACTATGACATTAATTTCATGACAATTAAACATTCAGACTCATATTAATAGGGAAGCTTGTTCCAGCCACAGAATGAAAAATAAAAAAAGGTAATTGCGACTATTTATCTCACAATTCTTACATTTTATCTCAGAAAGGCGTGATATATACGTGCAATTGTACGGAGGCGTATTGCATTCACTTGAAGAAAAAAAATCTACTCTGTTTTTCTGAATTAATGAGTTCATTTTTCATGAGAAAAAAATATTTTGCTCTGTTTTTCTGAGTTAACGAGTTAATTTTTCATGGAATTTTTTTTTGCTGTGTTGTTCTGAATTAATGAGTTAATTTTTCATGAGAAAAAAATATTTTGCTCTGTTTTTCTGAGTTAACGAGTTAATTTTTCATGGAATTTTTTTTTGCTGTGTTGTTCTGAATTAATGAGTTAATTTTTCATGAGAAAAAAATATTTTGCTCAGTTTTTCTGAATTAACTAATTTTTCATGGATTTTTTTTTTGCTCTGTTTTTCTGAATTAACTCGTTAACTCAGAAAAACAGAGCAAAAACTTTTTTTCTCACGAAAAATTAACTCATTAATTCAGAAAAACAGAGCAAAAAAATGTTTTCTCATGAAAAATTAACTCATTAATTCAGAAAAACAGAGCAAAAAAAAATGTCCATGAAAAATTAACTCGTTAATTCAGAAAAACAGAGCAAAATTTTTTTTCTCATGAAAAATTAACTCATTAATTCAGAACAGAGCAAACAAATTTTTTCTCATGAAAAAATTAACTCATTAATTCAGAACAGAGCAAACAAATTTTTTCTCATGAAAAAATTAACTCATTAATTCAGAAAAACAGAGTAGATTTTTTTTCTTCAAGTAAATGCAATACGCCTCCGTACAATTGCGTGTCATAGGTCAGAATTGCGAGATATAAAAATGCAAATCTGACTCTGATTTTGAGTTTATTTCTCGCGAGTTTATATCACGCAATTCTGACTTTATAACACACAATTGTGAGTTTATATTACGCAATTCTGTCACACACAAGGGTTTTTTATTGTTACTAATCCTACAATAATAATAACAAAATAAATAACAGACAAAAATGATGTCAGGACAGGATGAATGGTCCTAAAAAAGGCTTTATCCCAGACGGCAACAGTGTCGGCCCAGATCTGGAATCCACATGAGGCCCGGATCGCTATGTGTCCGTCTGTGATTTCTCTAAAGCAAAATATCACGTCTTTTATTCTTTTGATTTTAGGGTGAAATATGGTGAAATTCACACTTTGTTGCAGGTTAACCCGTGAGAGAGAAAGTAGTTCAAGCAAAGTCACATTTTTCATAAAACAGACATCATCACCCTCTTCATGTCCTGTTCCTCTGCAGATTTTGGCAAACTGTGCAAACACACACGTACACACTGATATCCCCATATATCCAGAACTGTGCACAGACAGGCTGAATGTTTTATACAGTCCCTCAGGAAGGCAACGCAAACTTTAGTAAGGCAAGATCCATTTGACGCACACATTCTGCCATCCTGAGAAAGAAAAGTGTGAGGGCCGCGTAGCCCTTTAAAACACACGAGTGTATGTACAGAGAGTTTCAGAAGGCCGATCAGCTGATCCGTGTGTCTCAGTCCCGTCGCATCTCAGGAATGGAGAAATCTGACGCCTGAATCAGTTTCAAGCAAAACATTAATTTCCGTGTGGCTTAGTTTTCCTTCAGCTTCTCCTGGTGCGTGTAAACAGCGGGAAAACTGGACGACTTTTTAGAGCTAATTTGATTAAGTTTGCATTAGCGATTCTGTTCTATCCTGTTTGTTACTGTGAAACTGCTTTGAAACAATAAGTTCTAAAAAATGTAACATTGTAACACTGTAACGGTTCTCTTTAGAACTCTCAGCTGACACAACGTTTCACTACGGCTTTGAGCGTCTAAGTATTTTCAAAATAAGTTCGCTGAAGTTTTTAGGCAAATTCACACTATTTTTCTGTCCAAATGTTCAGCCGAAGACGTGTCAGCTCTGACCTTTGACCTGTGATGTCACTGGTGGTGTTTGTTGCAGTCGTCGTCCAGGCACCCGTTCATGCGATGCGACTCGTCCCCGAAGGCGCCCTGCGACTGCAGGAGCTCGAACTCCTCGTCCAGAAAGTCCAGCGAGTTGTTGCTCGGGAGCCCGCGGATGGTGAACTTGTTGGACACTTTGGCCCATTGCTCGCGGTTGGCGGCCACGCGCTCGTAAAGCTCGGCTGAGCGCGGGAACAGTTCCTGCAGGAGCCTGGGACAAATCAGCCGAGAGGAAAAATACATACGCTGTAAAAAACGATCTGTTCTGACAGATCTAACCGTACATTTAATACAGTTTTACAGTAAAAGTTTTGGAGGTGAAAAAGAACAAGTCATTGTATAATGTAATGTGAAAAAACGTTCCCACAATTCCCTGCGTGACACTTTTTGTTGAAATTACCATGTTTCTTCATAGCTTTTTTAATCAATTATGTACTTTAGGGTTTTATGTTATATTTAATGTTGTTAAACTGTTTACTGTATTTTTTTAATTTCATGATGGTGTTTGTGTGAATGACACTGTGCAGTTTCTACTAACTTTATTGTAAAAAAGCTGTTTGTGTGTGACTTCAATAGGTCGGTAAATTAACATATCAGATAATGAACATAATGTATTTCTTACGGTTGCCAGTTTGAAATCAGAAATTTAACAGGATTTTTTTTTTTGCTTCTTTACAATATTATTAAAATAATAAAAAAAACACACATGTCAATATAAAAACAGCATTAAGTTTTCAAGATGTATTATATTTTCCTAATTTTGAAGAACGAGGGAAGCTAACTGTTGTTCTTAAAAACATTACCTTACATAGAATTGAACTTCTGATGCTTTAGAATATAAATCCCTCATGAGAGTTATGAATACTCTCTTTAACCCTCTGGTACTCTTTATTTTTTTTTTTATAATTGTTTACTTCATCAGAATCGTATGAAACTTGGTAAAGGTTTTGGCACTTGATGTGAAAAAAAAAAAAAAAAAAAATCATGGACATCTTTGGAAAAGGTTAAATGATCCTGAAAACAATAGTCACACTTGTGCTCCTCGCGGTCAAAAATCAGGAAATGAATGAGACGAAAATAGTATTACGCATAGTATTATTTTCCATAACGATACACATCAAATTCTGTTACTTTTTTTTCTGTTACTGTTAAAAAGTGAATAAATGGATTATAAATACAGCATAAATATAATTTATTTTAAAAAATCCCCTAAAAACATAAAATATTAATTAAAAAAATGTATCAAACTAAAATATAATTTATTAATTTCATTGAAATTTTTGACCGACACACAACTTTTTTTCTGTTACTGTTAAAAAGTGAATAAATGGATTATAAATACAGCATAAATATAATTTAGTTTAAAAAAATCCCCTAAAAATATAGAATATTAATTAAAAAAAAATTATCAAACTAAAATATAATTTAATTGAAATTTTTGACCGACACACGAAGAGCACTGGAGAAGACTCTCAGCAGATTATTGCACTTATGACCATTTTTTATTTTATACAAAATAATTTTCCTCTAAAATAGCAAGAAAATATATGAATCTATATTACATATGAAAAATTTGAGTCTGGATTCTGGGCCGATCATGGGCTTGTTAAAATTACGAGTGACTTATCAAGGCTGTTCTCAAAACTAGTGTTGTGTTGGAGACTATAGATTATAAAACACGCTTTGATTGACATGAGTGAGATAGACATTACACTGGTGTTCAGGGACAGGCTTTAAGGTGGTTTAGATCGTACCTATCAGACCGTATTTATTTTGTCTTTTTGAAACGGGCAAAAATCTTAGATAATGTCAATAATTATGGCATGCAGCAAGGCTTTGTTCTAGGCCCTCTGCTATTTTCAATATATATGCTTGGTAGTATTACGAGACAAAATGGAATTATTTATGGATGTAAACAGTGGTTAAAGTGAAAAAGCATGGACACTGACTTGTATATGGGCATGGCGATGTGCTCCATGAAGCTGATCTGGAGTTCAGGGATGTAGGCCTTCTCTCGGTCCATCATCTCACTGGGTCTGTTCCCCATCGCCTTCTCCTACAAACACACAACTGCTTTCAATCTGTGTAACCCTATAAATCCATGTTTGATACGCCTCTGATGATCAACATGATCGCACACAATCTCCTCCAGTCCTGTGTTTTTATCAAGTAAAAGTCTTTTATATGACTGTACAAACGTCATCGTGTCTTTATTCTGTCAAATCTGCACTCATTGAATATGTGCATCAGGCTTTTAAGGAAGGTTTATTCATTCATCTGTCAATCATCTTTGTATTGCATTGCATTATATGCAGCTTTGATAATAAAACTAAGCATTTAAATATCATCTTACCAAGACATATTATTGGCAGATATTGCGTATCTGCTGTACTAATATAAAGATCTGAAGTTCAGAATTTTATTTTAATGTCAGCATCTGCAGTATTAAACGTCATATTTTTGATCAGTTTGAGTCTATGAATGACATTTTCCTTTATGAAAAGCCTGATGGATCATATTTAAACATAAAAACACACACGCTAACTTTTTTAGATTCCCATATTTGATCTAAATGTTCCATAAACTTTTTTAAGTAAATAAAATGTGATATGTCAAGCTTTAGAGGGGTGGTAAACCTGGAAATTAAGGCAATACAATCATTTGTATTGATGCATAAAAGATGCTATGATGTAAAAGAATAATACATTGTTTTAGATTTCGCTTAGTGATTAATGAAACCCGGACAGCAGTTTAATATTTATTCAGTGAATCAAGTTGATATTGCAACACTGTTTAGCATCTTTTCCACATCTTATTGAAATTTCAACAGTGATTTATAAGCATTTTGTTGAAGCAACAACTGACATTATTGGTCACATCACATGCTGGCTGTGTAGGTAAATAAATGACATGTGATTTGGTCATGTGATCGTTGGTCATGTGATCATTCTCATTCAAGAAAACATAAGCTAAAGTTTAACTCACCAAATCACCCTGAGAGAAAAACTCCTTATAGATTAACTCCTGCAACACAACAACAGAAGACTGAGCGAGTGAGCGAGTGAGTGAGTGAGTGAGAGAGTGTGTGTGTGAGTGAGTGTATGAGTGAGTGAGTGAGTGACTGAAATGAGTGTGTGAGTCAATGTGAGTGAGTGAGTGAATGAGTGAGTCAATGTGAGTGAGTGAGTGAGTGAGTGAATGAGTGAGTGTGTGAGTGAGTGTGTGAGTGAGTGAGTGAGTGAGTGTGTGAGTGAGTGAATGAGTGAGTGAGTGAGTGAATGAGTGAGTGAGTGAGTGAGTGAATGAGTGAGTCAATGTGAGTGAGTTAGTGAATGTGTGAGTGAGTGAGTGTGTGAGTGAGTGAATGAGTGAGTGAGTGAATGAGTGAGTGAGTGAGTGAGTGAGTGAATGAGTGAGTGAGTGAGTGAGTGTGTGAGTGAGTGAATGAGTGAGTGAGTGAGTGAATGTGTGTGTGAGTGTGTGAGTGAGTGTGTGAGTGAATGAGTGTGTGAGTGAGTGTGTGAGTGAGTGAGTGAGCGAGCGAGCGAGCGAGTGAGTGAGTGAATGTGAGTGAGTGTGAGTGAGTGAATGAGTGAGTGAGTGACTGAGTGAGCGAGCGAGTGTGTGAGTGAGTGTGTGAGTCAATGCGAGTGAGGGAGTGAGTGAGTGTAAGTGAGTCTGTGTAAGTGACTGAAGTGTGTGTGTGTGTGTGTGTGTGTTACCGCGATCTTCCTGGTGGTCTTCCAGCCTTTGGTCTGGTCTGAGAGGTCACAGGAGGTCATCAGCAGACACAGCAACAGACTGCGATGTGTTTGATTCTTCTGGTTATATCCAACTACAAACACACACACACACACACACACACACACATCATGAAGAGACAGGGATTTCGGGGATTTCTTTAGCTTATTTTGCAGTACTGGTATTATATTTCATTAGTTAAAATGACGTCGTCTCCGTGCTCTGGAGTGATTTTACACTTCTGTTATTGGTGAACAAATCACTCAGATCTCTTGACTGAATATCATACTTGAGTTTAAGATCAGCGAGAAGCTACTCAAAATACCCACGACACATCACACTCACAGCGCTAGATTTTTTTTATTCAACTTTTATTTTTTAGAACACATTAAATGACTTGTAACATTATTTTTTATTATATAAAAATGAACCTATTTGATACTGTGACTGTAAATGCTTTGACAATACAGGTGGAATGGGTCATATCGATTAAAGCTGCAGTGTTTAGCAGCATCTAGTGGTGAGGTTGCGAACTGCACTTAACAGAAGTTATGATGGCTGACAGGAAGTGATGTCATCGTCTGAGACAGCCGAGAGTAGCACTGAGGTTTCTTTACAAAGATAAATGATGAAATTAGGTTTACTTTATTATTCAGTAAATAATGTTATTGCAAATATTATATTCATCATTGTGTCGGTGTTTTATTGGCTGACTTTAGCTACAGCTTCTGTGCATGAAGAACAACATAGTGAAACATGGACATAGAAACATGTCAAAATGAGGCGACCCGCGGTGTGTGTAGAGAGAAATGCTCATTCATGCTCATTTCGGTCAACCAATCTGTCAAATATTACACAATACACCTTTAAAAAGACACATTTCAGGAAAGGAGAGAGATCCTGTGGCGTCTTCTACACACACACACACACACACACACACACACACACACACACACACACACACACTGGCGTCTCACCGTCGGCCATCTTCTGCAGGTCCTTGAAGATCCTCAGGTGATGAGCCAGATCTGTGGCCAGGATTATATCTCGGATCAGATCCAGCATCCGCTGATAATCCTGGAACGCCGAGAGCAAAGCATCATGGGGCAGCAATGGCGCAGTAAAAGTTAAGAAAACGTAAACATTTTATTGAATTACATATTAAAGTGAAATACTACGGAGGCGTATTGCATTCACTTGAAGTAAAAAAAAATCTACTCTATTTTTCTGAATGAATGAGTTAATTTTTCATGGAATTTTTTTTTTTTGCTCAGTTTTTCTGAATTAACGAGTTAATTTTTCATGAGAATTTTTTTTGCTCTGTTGTTCTTGTTAGGGGTTAACAGTTAAAAGACCCAGAACCAGATATGAAGAATGAAGACCCGGAGTCGGAATTATAAAAATTAAAGAAAGTTTTACTGAACATAGTTTGCCATTTCATCAGCAGAAGTCAGCTTCAAGACTCCCTCAGGAGTTCGTAGGCCGCCCCCTTACAGTTACTAAGATCACAGCAGTTATACCATTTTCAAGGTCTAAGCTACGTCATTGCTTACACGTTGAATGATTCTCATTGGCTACGATATAGATAAACACAGTAATTTTCCACACATATACAGATAGACGAAACATATCTCCATCGATGAGGCACGTCATGACCTTCCAGGTCACAGATTTGGGTTGCTGGCGCCAGTGTGTCCAGAACAACAACTCATTCAATCTCCAATAATGGCAGTGGTTCCTTAACCTGCAACTAAGAAGACTAACACTAAACTTTAATCTAACTGGAGTAAGACTTTAACAAAGAAATAGTGCCTTAAACTGTTGGCTTCAATGACCCCTTTATGTTTTAACACTCAAACATAAACCAAATCCCTATTTCCTTATTATTTTCACTGTTACTGCATTCACATAGGACACTAGCAAATAGGAGCTCCTATCAAGGCTGAAGAGAGTCTGAGCGGCTTATTATCAGTTAAGTGTACCAAAACATAATGGTAAAACATTCACTCGTTTGGGAGAAAAACAGATAACATTTGCTTCTCAGAAAGCAAATATAATAGAAAGAATACAGTTTAATATAACAATTAAAGTTCAATAAAGCAATGCTCAATATAGCTTGACCATCTGTACAGAGAAGTATCATAAGTGTTGGACATATGTGTTCACGACACCTTTATGATCCATAAACCTTTCTCCTGAGACCAGAGAAAGAGACAAATGGCCTTGTGCACCTAAAAGAAGCTGGTGACTTGTGCATGTACATCAGCATGCATTTAAGAATATTATTTCACAAGCAAAAGCACAAAGAATACATTTATGTCAATAAATGATTAAGTAACAATAAACATACTTAATTATTGATTTTATAAAAGAAATACATAATCATTCAAAAGGATATTATGATATATATATGCTGAAGAGGCAAGGGATTTTGACCACCCCTTCATTCTGAATTAATGAGTTAACTTTTCATGAGAAAAAAAGTTTTTCTCTGTTTTTCTGAATTAATGAGTTAATTTTTCATGAGAAAAAAAATATTTTGCTCTGTTTTTCTGAATTGATAAATTAATTTTTCATGGAATTTTTTTTTTGCTCTGTTTTTCTGAATTAACTCATTAATTCAGAAAAAACAGAGCAAAAACTTTTTTCTCACGAAAAATTAACTCATTAATTCAGAAAAACAGAGCAAAAAAAATTCTCATGAAAAATTAACTCGTTAATTCAGAAAAACAGAGAAAAAAAATGTTTTTCTCATGAAAAATTAACTCATTAATTCAGAAAAACAGAGTAGATTTTTTTTTCTTCAAGTGAATGCAATACGCCTCCGTAAAATACTATATGATGACGCAATTAGTTAAAGATTTTGAAAGCATATTGCGCAGTTGTGCTTGTTGTATTTGTGATAACGCAATGAAACATGGCAGATTGTCAACAGCATAAGTGGGCCGTAAATGTGTATGCTTGTTGCTTTTCAATGGATTTATTTTGCTTAGCTAAATAAAACCTGTTGCGTTAACAACAACAACGACAAGTTTATTTATATAGCACAATTCATTCACTTTACAAAAAGTAAAAACATCATGATAAAATACCAGATACAAACATGCACAAAAAAAAGATAATAAAGATTTAATAAAAAATAAATAAACAAATTTAAAACTACACAGTATAGCTAATTTTAAGAGCTCAGTCTTAATAAGAACGACCGTAGAATGATTTATTTCTCCTTTCTAAACCAGAAAAAACAAAACAAGATGCAGAAGCTTCACCTTTCTAGAGAACTTCTCAAAGATGTTGCAGCCGTGTGTGTTGAGGATCGCGATGGCCTGAGCGAAGTGATGTCTCTGAAACACACACACACACACACACTGAGTCACTGAGTGTGTTTGAGTCAGTTGACCAGCAGAGGGCAGCAGACGATCACAAGTGTGATGAACCAAACTCTTCAAAGATCTGTCACACACACACACACACACACACACACAACCACTCATCTGTCAATCAACCACAGCAACAGCTTCAGTGTGGCTTTAAAGGATTAGTTGACTTCAGAATTAACATCTCCTGATGATTTCCTCTCCTCCACGTCATCTGAGATGTTCTTCAAGGAGTTTTTGAGGAACACACTCCAGGATTGTGTCTTCCGCCTACGTCCCGCTTGACCTTTCACCCTGATAACATAATATGTGTCGCATCACAGCTCGAGCAAGATCATGATTATTGGATAAAAGTATATAAATGTGTATTTTGTTGTAAATGTCGCTGGTTTGTCTACTCTAGATCAGACTCTTATTCCTCGGCTGGATGCACTGAAACTCACATCTGACCTTTGACCCCATTGAAGACGCTATATGGAGAAACCCCGGAGTGTGTTCCTCAAAAACCTTCATTTCTTTTCCACTGAAGAAAGAAAGACATGAACATCTCGGATGACGTGGAGGAGAGTGAACTATCAGGAGATGAAGTGAAGTGAAGTAACTAACATACTGAAAAACAACTGCGCAAAACACGGCTTTAACGTTATTAGACACAATAACTGAAATATAACCAATAAAATATAAAGGGATCGTACTAAAATAGCTAGAACTAAATAAACAAAAGTAGTTATACATACAAAATGAATAAAATAGACGAAAACTCAAAAGTACTAAAACATACTAAAATTAAAAGAACTAATTGAAAATATCAATAAATACTATAATAGCATCTCAATCACACTAAAATAATCCTGGGGATGGGCAACGATTAATCGCATCCAAAATAAAAGTTTGTGTTTACATAATATATGTGTGTATAATTAATCTGTATATATAAATACCCACACATGCATGTATATATTTAAGAAAAATGTGTTATCAATATACCAAATATTTATTAATTATAAATAGTTAATTATTAATTATATATAATATTAATTGTAAATAAATATGTATATGCACATATTTCTTAAATATATACATGCATGTGTGTGTATTTATGTATACAAATTACTTATACACACACTACACACACATATTATGTAAACACAAACTTTTATTTTTATTTTTTTTATTTTCGGGGTTATTTAATATTTAATATTTAACAATATTATTGAATATTATCTGTTGTACTACTTTCAGGTTATCACTGTGAAGCTGCTTTGATACACTCTGTGTTGTGAAAAGCGCTATATAAATAAATGTGACTTGAATTGAATTTTAAATACGATTAATCGCGATTAATCGTTGCCCATCCCGTCATTATGAGTATGAATATCAGCATGTCAACAGTGTGTGTGTGTACCTCCATGACAGATCCCTCTGAACTGTACAGAGCCGCCAGGACGGATTGCTGGAGAAAACAATAAATGCAGAAAACACTTTTCATTTATAACATTTCAAGCACTCGACTCGATCTGCAGTGTGTGTGTGACGTACCGAGTCCACCTGGAAGGAGTTGTTGGTTCCTCGATGGTCCAGATCGTGACACATGCAGGACACAAACAGTGCCAGGATCTCTATATCTCTGCCAGAAACACACACACACACACTCAGAAAACACAAACAGCAGCGTCGTCTTCAGTAAATCAGTGTGTGTGTGGTCTTACTCGAGGTAGTTGGCTAGTTCCAGGTTCTTGTAAAGCAAGTAGCAGAAGTGTGAGACGGAGAAGGCGTGCATCCAGTTGTGATACGGAGGGTCCCTGTAGCCCTTCTTCACCATCAGACAAAACCTAAACAACAGCAGAACACACTTTAGTCCACATGAACCTCACTGACACTCCATCATCCCTCTATGATGTCAGACTTATAGATGAGGCGCTCCGTTGCCTGGCAACAGCATCAGCATCAGCAACAGCAACAGCGAGTCTTTGCTCAGGTGAGATCAAATATACATGAGGTCAACAGAAGACTCAAAGTCAGTGTGTGTAACCAACAGGTCACGTGACAAGAAAAGCATAATGCTACGTTCACACCGGACGCAAATAGCGCATCCAGTTTGACGCTCGACCACTTTGTGTTAATTCTAGGGCTGTCAACTTTAGTCGTTTAGTCGACTAATCAATCGATGCCGTCTTGGTCGACTGACGTTCTTATTGGTCGACCAGTTACTTTTTATATTCTTTTTCTTTTTTTTACCGATAAAAATATTTTTTTTAATGATTCACTCCTTGATATTTATTCCTTTATATAAGTAATTATTTATTACTGTATTCTACATTTAATTAGCCTGTGTTTTATCCCCAACTTTAAATGCTTTAATTTAGGCTATTTTTGTTACAGCGCCACAGTTTTAGCGCACACACATAATACACCCGGGAACCGTCCAAGAAATCAAAATCTTTTGTAAAACAAAGACGACAAGACTGTGGAAGGGGGCGATCACGTTGCTCCAAATCGAACTTGAGCGCGCAAAAGACGTGAGCAGCCTTTTAACAGCTATATCATGTGGACTCGATAGATTGTGTTTTCTTAATATGTTTTTAATTGTACACTTTCCGCATTTGAAAATAGCCTAAATGATGCAACAAAACGAAAATAAACCTTTATGCCTTCCAAAATACAGCCTATTAAGCTATTCGGATTTGATACTATTTAGGCTATTTGGGTTTTTTGTGTGTTTGTTTATCGGCTGGACGAAAGTTAACCCAAAGTTTTGTAAGTAAAGAAGAATATAAAGCCTGTATAAACGAGAGCTTTTGTTAGGATGTGGCAGATAGCAGTTATTTTTATAGCGTGTGGTGTGATCAGGTGCGCGATTGTGACTGCATAGACAGAGCTCCTCACTTTTTTCAGTTAAAAAAAAAAAATCACTTAATTCTCAAAGAATTATATTATTATTATAGTTTTATTTATTTGTGATGTTTTTTCGTTGTTGTTTTATAAATGCTCAATGACAGTTGTTTAAAAAAATGTTAAATCAAAACAAGCTTTTATTTTTTTCCTTTTTTTTTTTTTTTTTTTTTAGTCGACTAATCGTTGCGCAGGACAAGACTTTGGTCGACCAAGGATTTCTGGTTGACTACAGCCCTAAATGCGCGCGTCAAGAGCGAAACTGACACGCGTAAAATCAAAAGTTTGAAGCGAAATTTACGCGCGTCAGAATCGAAACCCGTTGGCGGACATCTTTATGTTGATCGAGCATTCATCGAGAGATTCACTCTGGATTATTGCTCTGGCGGCGTGGGGATCATCGTCGCCGTATTTGTGTCCACCGGACCCTTCGGAGGCGAACCGTTTGCCGAGTTTCACCATTTGACGACGGCCGCGTTTGTGTTGATGATAAATAGAGCCAGCCTCCAAAAGTTATTAACCTGTCCTGTGATTTTTTTCTCTCTCACGTCACGTCCAGACACGAACTTATGCACATGTATGTTGATTGTCTTTACATCATAATAATATTTCATATAATCTAGATATGGAAATGCTTAAAACAGAGGACTGAAACAATGGCTGAAAACTAAACGACAGTGCTCACATGTATACTTTCTGATTCTGATACTTGCTGTTTTTATTTATTATTTATTTATTTTTTCTCCCTTGTTACTGTATTTTATTTTATTTTTAAAAGCCTCCCGTGGACAGGTGTTGAAAATTAGCATGTATGCTATAATCACTAAAAACAAATGCATATGGCTCGTCCAGTGTAATTGCATGTCCATGTCAAATAAAGATATAAATAAAAAAAATAAATAAAAAATGAAAAACATTCAATACAAAATGAACATGTCTCGTATATAGAAATAAAGTTAAAATATTTGCTTTGTTATGCATAAGAATCTCACCATGCATTTAGTCGTATTAAAAATTATTTATTGAAGCATCCAGATCCGTCACCATGTGAGCAAGCAGCAGGCTCCTGATTGGTTAACGCGGCGCGAATTGACGCCAAAGTTCCGATTTTTCAACTCGGTGCGAATTCGCATTAAACGTGTGAGTGCACAAATAGCACTAACTAAATCATTCACGCTTAACGCGCCAGATGCTCAATTCGCGCCAATAGCGTCATTCACGCCACAGGAATGTTTTACTCTTTGCATTGACTGAACATTGAAATCATTCGCGCCTGACACGCTATTCGCGTCCGGTGTGAACATAGCATTAGACAGGACATGATATCACAGACATGATTATGCGTCACGGTCAGTATTCAGATTTTATAGTTGGAGTTGTCCAAAGAAATGTATTTCATTTGTATGACATTTTTATGATCAGGGTTAGAGTCGTCAAAATAATTAGATTTAATTTGCATGATATTTTTTAACATCAAAAATGTGTAAAAAAAATAATAATAAAATAAATATATATATATATATATATATATATATATATATATTAGGGCTGTCAGTTTAACGCAAACACATTTTAACGGTTTTAATTTTTTTATCGCGCGATTAACGATTCTTTTTGTCCTAGCAAACTTTGTAGTTTTTCACATGCTTTTGCAACAGGACGTGGCATGCATCCTGATACATTTTGGCGTCTCGCGCTCGTCATCCACTCAAAGCCGGCTCGCAAGCCCCAAACGTGTGCCTGTTGTTTTTTTCCGTTCTAGCTAGATCCGAAATGAATCCATTGAAAATGAAATGAAGCCATTGAAATGAATGGGTTCAGAACGCAGCGTACGAGCCGGCCAAATATTAACGTTACTTTTGAGTGGGTGGCGAGCGCGAGACGCCGAAATGGATGCCAAATGGTCCCATTGACAAGACCAAGTGATCTGTGTGTTTTGTCGTTGTGAACTGAGCGATCATCATCGCAGCACGTCCAGTCTGAAACACCACTTGATGATGATTATAATGATTATCTGATTATTTATTTATGTTAGTGTGAATTTGAACACTATTCCAATGTTATTTTCAATAATAATTAAAAAAAAAAACATTTGCACAAAACAAGCCGATCCACTTTTCCATGTTGAGAAGAGCATTAAAGTGAGAAAAAAATAATGTAACAAAAAGAAATCAAAAGAGATTTAGAATAGATAAAAATGAGTTAACTATGACATTAATGCGATTAAATATTTTAATCGTTTGACAGCACTAATATAAATATAAATATTCCTCTTTTACATATTTTCGATGGTAAAAAATATCATGCAAATTAAATGTCATTATTTTGACAACTCTAACCCTAACCTATATACTGCATATATGATTGAGAGGTATAGGTGTATATTAAATGACTTTTCGAAGAAGGACAGGAGTGTGTGTGTGTGTGTACCTGGCTAGCGTGCGCAGGTCGATCTTATAGGTGTTTATGAAGCCCATGTCTTCAAACATGCTCAGAACGCCCTGCGAGAGACAGACAGACAGACAGACGTCACCAGTGTTTCTCGTCAGTGGGTCCATGTGAATCCGGTTGTGTGTGTCGGTACCATAGGTGTGCTGTCGTCCGACAGAGATCGCGGCGTATAAACGAACTCTGCAAAGTTGGGGTGGATTACTTGGACCGGCTCAATGCCCGTGGACAGAAGTTTAGTGACCTCTTCCTCCGACACCTTCATATGGTACATCATCATTTCATTGGCCAGATGACTGCGGAACTGAGCCTCGTGGACCTTCTTATACAGGAGAGACTGACACACACAGATATAAGTAAATAAACACATGTATATAAACACAAATGCATTATATGAAGAGTTCAGATGCAAAAGCCTCTAAGTGCCATTTGAAATTTTCTTCTAGAATGATAATTTTTTATCAAACTTGTATATTTAAGTTCAGTGATTTCACTTAAATGGCAATGATAATTACCTATTAATTGTTATTTAAGTGAAATTACTGAACTTAAATATACAAGCTTGATAAAAATCATCATTAAAGAAGAAAATTTCAAATGGCATTTAGAGGCTTTTGCATCTGAACTCTTCATATATACACTCACCTAAAGGATCATTAGGAACACATACTAATACTGTGTTTCGTGGCATTGATTCAACAAGCATTCTTTAGAAATGTTGGCCCATATTGATAGGATCGCATCTTGCAGATGATGGAGATTTGTGGGATGAAGCTCCCGTTCCACCACATCCCAAAGATGCTCTATTGGGTTGAGATGTGGTGACTGTGGCGGCCATTTTACTACAGTCAACTCATTGACATGTTCAAGAAACCAATTTGAAATGATTCATGGTCATTATCCTGCTGGAAGTAGCCATCAGAGGATGGGGACATGGTGGCCATAAAGGGATGGACATGGTCAGAAACAATGCTCAGGTTAAACGATGGCCAATTGGCACTAAGGGGCCTAAAGTGTGCCAAGAAAACCATTACACCACCACCACCAGCCTGCACAGTGGGAACAAGGCATGTTCTCATTCTGTTTATCTGAATGTCTCAACAGAAATCCAGACTCATCAGACCAGGCAACATTTTCCCAGTCTTCAACCGTCCAGTTTTGCAAACTGTCGCCTCTTTTTCCTATTTGTTTTAAATCCCCTTTCTTCCCCATTCTGACATTCAGTTTGGAGTTCAGGAGATTGTCTGAAGCAACTGCCATGTGATTGGTTGATTAGATAATTGAAACAGGTGTCCCTAATAATCCTTTAGGCGACCAACATTTAGTGATGTAGAAACTCGTACATGAGCGATACTGATGCCACAGTAAATGGAGAAGGCCGTCGCCAGATCCTCATCAAAACGATTGAACCACGGGCCGTTAGTTTTATTCACCAGTTCAGCCACTCCAATCACCTCTGATGAGAAAGCAAAGAGTCAGAGAAACACACAGACAGAGTTCGATGCTCTCGTCGGCCCTGAGATCATACGTCAACATTGCTTTCACTCAAAAGTCTCTGATTGGCCTCAACATCTCTGCAAGCAAAACATCACTCACACACACACACACTAAGAAAGATAATGCCCTCGAGCACACACACATTTAATATGTCACACTCCGCTTTGAGTTCATTCTCCATGAAGCAGTTAATTGTTGGTGGTAATTGTGTTTGTGACGTGACTGAAGCAGCTTTCACTAGTATACTCTATAAAAAACACATTTTCAGAACTAAAAATATTAAAGTTTGTTTTACAAGAAAAGAATATATCTATATCTAGATAAACAAGATATTATATCAGTCTTTCATCTTCAAAATTTCATGCATAAATCAATTATAACTTATAACATTTCTTTGTATATATATATTTTTTTAATTTTTATTGAATTTTCATATAATACAAATATAACAAAACATCAACCACGCCCCCCCAAAAAATTAATAATAATAATAAAATAAATAAATAAAATAAAAATAAAAACTCTAAAAAAATAAAAATAAAAACATGCATAAAATAACAATTACAAAAGATAAAGAGAGTGACAAAATAAGGTTAAAAGTCGCCAAATCCTACACCATTTTTTTCCAGTGTAATCTACATTAGAGCCAGACCGATATATATCGGCAGACTGATATTATCGGCCGATATTAGGCATTTTCCAAACTATCGGTATCGGCAGTTATAATGGCCGATAAATGAATATTTCAAAAATAAAATAAAAATGGAACGAAACACACTTGAACCATGTCATGAGTGTTGGAGTTGTATAGTTTGTCCACCAGAGGGCGCTCTACACCGTTCCTGTTGGCAACACTCGTTGAGTTGGTCACGAGACATACAAAAGAACATCCCCATTAGTTCTCTTAACTCAAATAAGCATGACAAAATTTGTGACTATCATGTCCAGTTTCAAATAACTAAATAAAATACCGGCCGATATATCGGAATATCGGATTTTAAAACCCAAAAATATTTGTATCGGTATCGGCCTTCAAAATCCTTTATCGGTCGGGCTCTAATCTACATGTTTTTTTTTGTTTTTTTTACCAAACAATGACATCCCTCTACAGGAAGTGACATCATTTTGGAGGGAAATGAACATGGATTCTGTGATGTCACTATTATCAACAGTCCTCTTGCAGATTAAATCTAGCTCTTTATTAACATCCGGTTCATTTTGTGTGCATTATCACGTTATAATTAATAAAGTTACTACATTTGTGTGTGTGTGTGATGACACTGTGAAGGCAAAGTGTCCAGGACTGCGGTGTCTGACCTTCGTTCTCGTCCTTGATGGGGAAGCAGAGGATGTTCCTGGTCCTGAAGCCGGTGCTGTCGTCCACGCCGCGGTAGAACAGAGGATGGGAATACGCATCCTTGATGTTCAGGATCTTCCCAGTGGTGGCCACATGACCAGCGATGCCCTGATCCGCCGGGATACGAAACTCCTTCTGTTTATTACAGAGAGACACTTACTCAGCTCTAGAATAACACACACACACACACACACACACACTCAGCGCACCTCGTCATCGCTCACGACTCCTCCATCAAACACTTTGGCCACCAGTTCATGACTGACTCGATCCAGCAGGAACACTGAACAACTGAGAGATAAAGAGAGAAAACACGGAAATAATACTGAATAAGTGTGTGTGTGTGTGTGTGTGTGTGTGTGTGTAATCTGTTTGATTAAATGTTACAATATTTGACTGGAGGTAATTGATATTTATGAGGTTGCTGTTCTTGTCATGCAAACAGTTGCAAGACTGGAATTGGCTTGGACCAAACCCAAAACGATCAGAGGCGTAATTAAGCGTGTGTGTGTGTGTGTGTGTGTTCCTCACATCTCAGCATTGCTCAGGTTTCTGGCCTCGACGATGATCTCCTGCAGTAATACAGACACGTCATCTGAACGAGAGAGACACACACAGTTAAATAAAGTGAAGCTGCTTCACACACACACACACACACACACACACACACACTCACAGCTTCATCCACACGGAAGCTGAGAGCGGTTTAATCTCCACGTGAAAACATCCTATAATGTGACTGGAATCTATTTATGAGTTTGATTTTATCGCTGTAACCTTTTATTACATTAACAAGTATTAAATGACTGATGAAAGAGGCAACACAGCCTGTCTCAAACTACAGATAAACATTACCCATCATCCCACACGGTCTCGACGACATCAGCGAAATGATGTTTACATATTTAACCCTCAGGAGTCACACTTGTTATCTTCCCGGTCAAAAGTGACCAGACACCTAAAAATTAAATTTCCTCCATCCCAGTAAAATCAATGCAATTTATTTTTGTTCTATAATATTTATTCTTTGTAATTTAGTATTTTGAGACAATTTGATTGAATTTATTAATATTTATGGTTTATTTTTGCCATGGAAAAATATATATATTTTTATATATATATTATTTTTTTCAAAAAATTATTAATGCAGTATTTTAGTTTAATATAGAGTCTAGGCCTTCAGAAAAAAAATATTTTTTGAAGAAAATTAGCACCATCTGGTCACAGTATAGAGAAAAAGTGTAGAATCATGGTGTAACCACTAGATGGCATGTACAGCATGTGAATTCCCCAGATGTTTATGAACACATTTTTTTTGTTGTTGTTGGTGGATTTGAATATATAGTTGAAACAATCTCAAAAAGATTTTTTATTTAAAAAAAAAAAATGTGAAAAAAGTAATAAAATGTGTGAATTTTTGTCAATTTCCCATTCATTTCCTATGGGGGTCATTTTTGACCGAAGAGCACAAGCGTGACTATTTTTTTTAAGACCACTTAGCATGCTCAGATCATGACCTTAATTTTTTTTTGTGTTCACATACATAATGCCATAAAAGTCACCAAGTTTCATAACATTGCAATGAAGCTGTGATTTTTAAAAATTCAAAATCGGTCAGAAATGACCAAAGAGCACCTGAGGGTTAAATATGCTCATATGTTCAACTTTATTTAAAGAGCTGGTGATAATAGCAGATAGTTGGTTTATGATGACAGATATGAAGACAAGTTAATAATCTTACAGATGATTCATTCACAATCAGACTATGAACATGAATTATGTTAAACATTCAGATTCATTCATAGTTTGACTCACCGAGGTGTGTGAAGAGATTCTTAGCCACTTGAAGCAGAGCCTGAACAAAGACACAATGACAAATGTGTGTGTGAGTGTGTGTGTGAGCAGATCAGATGAAGCACATGCGCCTGGACACGAGCACAACTCATGATGTGGTCAGCCGGATCCGGGCCGTATCCGGACCAGATGAAGCTCCTGGACTCCACTAGACTAGACTCTCCCATCGGCACGGATCCTCAACAGACCAGTCTCCATGTGTGTGTGTGTGTGTGTGTGCATATATACCTGCTCCAGCTGCAGTGATGAGCACTAAAGCATTAGCATACAGACGTCTCTTAAAGGTACAGTAGCAGAAGCGTTTCCTCACCTGACACTCGAACTTGAGCTTCTGCTCCTTCTGGAAGGCCAGTGTGCTGGTCAGGACCGTCGACGTGTAACAGAAGCAGTGTTGAATCACGTGCTCGTCCGCGTCCATGTACCTGAACACACACACACACCAGTACTGCATCAAAAACACACACATTATGATTACATCTGAGGTCAAGAGGTCAAACTAAATATTATATGAGCTTTCATTTTACACACACACACACACACACTCACACTCACACTCGCACACACACACCACAGCGTCTAAATGTCCTCCAGAACTGAAGAAAAGAACGACAGAACGAGACAAACAGATGGAGAGATGAACCGAGAGAAATTCAATATGAAATATCAAACGGTCAGATCTCGGCGAGAGGAGTTTCATTTCCTTTATCAACGCGAGACGCCACGTTCAGTCCAGATGCGCACACACACACACACTCGTTCAGACGCCAGAGTTTATTAGCACACAAACTCTGATGGAATATCAGTCAAACGTAGAAACTGTGATACACTACAATTCAAGTTTGGTGTCAGTAAAATTATATAAAATATACTTGAAATACTTTTAAGTATCCATTAAACTGATGTACAGTTTTTGCACATGAACACACAAACAGGTTTAACTATAATAGCTCACACTAAATATTATACGAGCTGTTTCACTGTACTTTTATCGAAACTGTTGAACACATGATTTATGGGGTTTTGTCGATTGTTGCAGCAATAAAATATCAATGAACATCTAGGTCAATGTCAAAATTGATCTTAAATTAAGTTAAGTATATATTCTAATCATTATCATAAATGCTAGTATATACAGTATAATTAGGGCTGTGCAAAGATTAATCGCATCCAAAATAAAAGTTTGTGTTTACATAATATTATTTTGTGTGCTGTGTTATGTTATTTTGTATATATAAATGCACATGTATGCATATATTTAAGAAAATGTGTTATTCATATTTTAAATATTTATACTTATATATAATATAGATTATGTATTTATATATTATTTACATATGTATTTATATATATCCCTCAGGTGCTCTTCGTTTCGGAGTCATCCTGGTCAAAAGTGACCGGACACCTAAAAATTAAATTTCCTCCATCCCAGTAAAACCAATGCAATTTATTTTTGTTCTATAATATTTATTCTTTGTAATTTAGTATTTTGAGACAATTTGATTGAATTTATTAATATTTATGCATTATTTATGGTCTATTTTTGCCATGGAAAAATATATATATTTTTCTATATACATATTATTTTTTTCAAAAAATAATTAATGCAGTATTTTAGTTTAATATAGAGTCTAGGCCTTCAGAAAAAAATATTTTTTGAAGAAAATTAGCACCATCTGGTCACAGTATAGAGAAAAAGCGTAGAATCATGGTGTAACCACTAGATGGCATGTACAGCTTTCTATGGAGAAGCATGTGAATTCCCCAGCTTTTTTGTGGATTTGAATACATTGTTGAAACGATCTCAAAAAAATAATAATAAAAATTTGTGAATTTTTGTGTTTTTGTCAATTTCCCATTCATTTCCTATGGGGGTGATTTTTGTTTTTTAAGACCACTTAACATGCTCAGATCATGACCTCAATTTTTTTGTATTCACATACATAATGCCATAAAAGTCACCAAGTTTCATAACATTGCGATGAAGCTGTGATTTTTAGAAATTCAAAACAGAAAATTTCTCGTTCAGAAATGACCGAAGAGCACCTGATATATATATATATATCTACAAAATAATTATACACAGCACACACACATATATTATATAAACACAAACGTTTATTTTAGATGCGATGAATTGCAAATTAATCTTTGCACAGCCCTAATTATAATATATAATACAATTTGATATGTGTGACAGTAAAGAAATTTATAATGTAACAAGATTAGATTCAAGAGAAGATGTTTGCAGATCATTTAGTATTTTTTACCAATGCGAAGGCTTTTGAAACTTTGCTTACTTTGATTTCTTCTAGGACTAATATTCAGTGTTGGACAGGTTTATTAATGAACACACACCTGTGTATGATGTGTAGAGATGTTTAGAGTCGTTAAAGAGTTAACATATCTCTGCGTTACTTTCTTTAAAAACTTTTAAAAGTCACGTAAAAAAGTTACATTTAATTGAGAGAATGTTAAGTACATGAGGACATTTTTAAATTCAATGTTTTATTCACATATTCAGTATTATTTTAATAGTTGATAATTCACAAGTGACTCTAAAATTAATAGAATCACTGTATAAGAAGACATAAAAAATCAAAAATGTCAAATATGTCTGTTTTATCCATAAGGTCTGGCATGGGCTTGGAATAAATGACACTTTACTGTATATTCACACAGAGAACAGATGATTTACACTGCAGGAATATCTCATATATAGTGATAAAGCATGATTCAGTGTTGACTCACACACCTCAGTCCGCCGAGCTTGTTGAAAGTGCACGCTAGCGCCACCACCTGACCTCTGGCCTGACTGACGACGGGAACACACAGCATCGAGCTCGGCTCGAACCCCAGCAGACTGCTCAATAACCCACGCTCCTCCTGCACACACACAACCAAACACGCGGATCAGTGTGTGTGTGTGATCCGGATTAAAGTGAAGGATAGTGACAGCTTCTCCGCCAGCTGAACACAGCTCTTTAACACACATGATCTGTCTGTGCTCATAATTAGCTGGTTTTGGAGAGCTGTCAGCTGGGAATGAATGAAAAGCATTATTACTAGCAACAGCTGTGTGTCCGTGTGTGTGTGTGTGTGTGTGTGTGTGTGTGTACCGACCTGGCTGACGTCCTGTAATGTAATGGATTTCTTTGTCTCCACCACCTGCCCGAAGCGGCCGAACATGAGCTTCAGAGAGACAGACAATCAGACCATTTTCACACACATTTATATTTAGGTTTATTTGCAGATGCAATTATCCCAAGCGACTTGCATTGAATTCAAGGACAAGGTGTGTGTTTAATTTGACTCAAACCCAGAGAACACACACTCGCAACAGAAAAGAGAAACTTACGGGGAAACTGATTTCCTCTTCCAAAACTTTATCACCAACAACCTGCAGAGAAAATACACTGTAAGAGTGTCTGTTTACCTGTGTGTGTGTGTGTGTGTTACCTGACAGAAGAGCTGCTGATTGTCTTCAGACACGAGCAGTAAACAGCAGCACTGCGACTGAGTCTCTTTCTGCAACTGAAATAGAAACACACACACATCAGAGTCCCCCTTACGAAAAAGAAGTTTATTCAAGTGTGCCATTAGTATACATTTTTAAACTAAAAATAAGAAAGTATACTTTAAGTTTATTTTTCCTGTACTTCTCAGAAATATACTTCAAATTACACTTAAGGGTACTTGACTTATACTGAGAGAAAAGCAAGTATATTTGTCCTGTTCTGGTACTCAATCTTTTGTTCCAGAAATACTTAAAAGTATAATTAAGTATTCAAAGTATACTTGTATAAGTATTACAGTAAAAAAGTAAACTACTAGCATACCCATAAATTCACTTGCACTAGTTGTGCACTTACTGTCACACTTATAATACACTTAAACATATACTTTTATGTACTAAAAGTGAGCCAATTTAGTCCAAAGTGGTATTAAAATAGTACACTTACAAGTTTACTACTAGTACATAGTGACATTAGTATACTTACTACATAATGTATACTTAAAAATATACTTGAACATTACTTAAGTATACTACATAAAATGAACTTGAAATATACGTAATCACAAACACACTCAGCGTTATCAAAGACACACCATCACTGTGAAGCTGCTTTGGTACAATCTGTATTGTGAAAAGCGCTATATAAATAAATGTGACTTGACTTGACCTTTTGTGTCAATTTGTTTGTATTTTCTTTTAGTGGCAACTTATGTGGCATTATTGCAAATTTATTTGGGATTACTGCAAATGTATAAAACATTACTTAAAAATACCTCGAACAACAACAAAAATAATTCTAAACTTTGACAAAATACTGATTTAATGTATTTTTTTTTCATTTAATGTATTTTAAATGTTTAAATATATATATGCATAACAAAAGCTGTTATAAGAGCAGTAAGTCACATTTAGAAAAATGAATGGATCTCAATGGGGCCTCTGCTGGAAGTATATGGTAATTACACTTTCTGCCTAAAACTATATTAT